TGGTCTGGAACTTGCCATGTAAAACCTCACTGGTCTCAAACTCACAGAGCTGGGCCTGTCTCTGCGTCCTGGGTGCTAGAATTACAGGCATGCACCACCATGCCTGGCACAATGATTGTTACTTTTAAGTGTTCTTTTCCAAATCTGATGCATATGCACATAATTTACACAGACACACTCAGAGTTGTTTTTAGTCATGGCTACAGTTGAAAAGGAAGTCCATAATTCTTTTTTCTTTTCTTTTTGCCCCCAGCATCTACTCTTTTCTGAGTTATCACCAACTTCCTTAGCTTCAAACATCACCACACAGAAAAGCAGTCACATTTTAATTTCATCAGCCTCCATTATTCATCTTTTCATCCACTTAGTCACTTCTATGAACAATGCTGGATGCTGGCCTCAAACTTCCTACCTAGTGGAGGATGGCCTTGAATTCTTCATCCTCCTGCCTCCACGTCCCAAGTGCTGGAATTACAGATGTGCACTGCCATGGCCTGGGACTAACAGGAATTCTGAAAGAAAACACTGACTTGGGGACCTAAATATAGGGGAAAAGACCAACTGAATAGAGGAAATTGCACAAGCAAAGATACCGGCGTTCAAAGGATCGTGCCACCTTCCGGAAACCACAAGTGGTTCAGTATTCGGGGAATTTGTGCTGCCTGCACACTGAGAGGACAGGGCTCTCAGGCAGGAGCTGATCTTTAAGAGCCTTGCAGCAGACTTGAGTCATTATCTTGTAGATGATTAATATCTTAGTTCTATTGATTTTCTGCTCTGCAGTCACAGTGAGAAAGTGTTTCGAAGATGAAAATCAGACTGTGGCCAGGCCTGCCTCAGTGTCCCACAGAATGGAGTCCCATGGGCCTCAACCACATGCTAGATGCTTCTTTGTCCAAGAACCCTCTGTCTTATGGGCTAACCTAAGCCTCACTCCCTCTGCCTTCCTTGGTTCTGGAAGAAGTCAGGTACCCTGCTGTGTGCTATCAAAGTCACTGATACAGCCTGTGTCATGTTCTTAGAAGTATGTCTTCCACTTTGAGTGGCAAACTCTGGGCAAAGTGGTCCTGCATGTTGCAGAATAGGTGCTCAGTTAATGTTGGAGGGGGACAAGTGAAGGCACTGAGCTTTTCAACAGCACACTGGGTATTCTGCCTGCATATCTCTTGGCATGTTGAATTCTGCATTTAAAAACTGGGTTACCATCACTCCCTCACCTGTCCCTTCCATCTTCCCTGTGCCTCCTACCTCTGCTCAGCTATTCCACCCCCATCCTATTTTACTGTTCGGCAACAGAGTTCACCATAAACATAACTGCAAACATTGGCTTGGCAAACAAGGAGCTAATACTTAAGTACTAGTGGGAGCCAAGATTGTTTGCTTTGAGACATGGTCTTTTAAAAAAAAACTTTAATATTTTATTTTATGTATCTGAGTGTCTTGCCTGCATGTATAAATGTGTATCTGTGTTGTACAATGCCTTCGGAGGTCAGAAGAGGGTGCCAGATTCCGTGGAACTGGAATTACAGATGGTTATTAGCTGCCATGTGGATGCTGGGAACTGAACTTGGGTCCTAAGCAAGAGCACCCAGTGCTCTTAACTGCTGAGCCACCCAGCCCCTGAGACAGAGTCTTATGTAACCCAAGTTGGCCTTGAACTTTCTATGTGGCTGAGGATGGCCTTGAACTCCTGAATCTCTTGCCTCCACTCCCTGAGTGTTGAGATTTTAGGACATGTATACATGGCTATTTTCAAAATTTGTTATTTTATGTGTACGACTGCTTTGCCTATATATATGTAAGTATGCCATGTGTGTGCAATGTTCAAGGAAGCCAGAAGAGGGTGTTGGATTCCTCTGGAATTGGGGTTATGGATTGGAGTTAGCTGCCATGTGGGTGCTGGGAATTGAATCTGGGTCCTCTGCAAGAGCAGTCAGTGCTCTTAACTGATGAAACATCTCTATCCCCTCTTCTTTTTTAATCCTGGTAGTATAGTTAGAACCTAAGGGCTTATGCTTGCTGGGCAACTGCTCTACCACTGATCTACATCCCAACCCACCTTCCATATTCTATCCTGTAAACATGTGGACTCTAAGTCTGCATAGTAGTATTGCCTTACCTGTGGCCTTGCAAATGACATCATTATCTCTCCCTCCTGCTAGGTACCTGGGTTCCAGGTAGTAATGGTTGACACAATCACAGCAACCTCCTTTTCTAGGGCCATCCTCAACCCTCTATAGACATGATCTGGCCAGGATAGAATTGAAGATCAGTAGTCCTAACAGTAGAGTGTTCCATCTGATTCTTTTTGTGCTCAAGCTTCTCTTGATAAATTTCTGTGTTGCTCTCCCTGATTCCCAAGCCCACTCTAAACAAAAAACTGCAATCCCGGCTCCCTTCCTCGTGCTCCTTTCTGTAGAGCAACTGAGTCCTTTTTTTTCATTTCTTTTTTTTCCCCCTGACCACCATTTTAGAACAATGTCTCAAACCAGGGAAGAGAATGTGGGTTTTAGAGCAAGACAGGCCAGGGTTCAAATTCGGGGCATATTATATTTACTAACCTCCCTTTTCTTTTGTCTTTTTGAGACAGGGTCTCCCTGTAGCTCCAGCTGTCCTGGAACTCACTATGTAGACCAGGCTGGCCTTGAACTCACAGAGATCCGCCTGCCTCTGCCTCCCAACTGCTGGGATTAAAGGCGTGCACCACCACGCCCGGCCCTTTTTCCCCTTTAAAAAAAAAATTATTTTTAGTTTTCATCATGTGTGTGTGTGCACTCAAGTGCAGGGTCCACAGAGGCCAAAAGAGCATTGGATCCAGTAAGTGTTTTTTGTTGGTCTTTTTGAGGCAGGGTCTCCCTGTAGCCCCAGCTGTCCTGGAACTCACTATGTAGACCAGGCTGTCCTTGAACTTACAGAGATCTGCCTCTGCTTCCTGAGTGCTGGGACTAAAGGCGTGTGCCACAACGCCCGGCTTTTATTTTTTTTAATGTGTATGAGTATATTGCCTGCATGTATGTGAGCACACCCATGTTGTGCAATGCCTCGGAGGTTAGAAGAGGGCTTCGGATTCCCCTGGAACTGGAGTTAAGGACGGTAAGGACGGTTTGTAGCTGCTATGTGGGTTCTGGGAATCGAACCCAGGTCCTCTGCAAGAGCAGTCAGTGCTCTTAACGGCAGAGCCATCTCTTCAGCCCCACAGTAGGTGTTCTCCAGTCTCTCCTTTTCTTTTTTTGAGACAGTCTCATTCTGTAGCTCTGGCTTGAATGAAAACTTTTTTAAAATAAAAAAAATTTTTTTGATTTATTTTTATTTTGTGCATATGAAAGTTTTGACTGCTTGTATGTAAGTATACCCGTGTTGGGCAATGCCCGCAGAGGCCAGAGAGAGTGTCAGATACTTTGGAACTGGACGGTTGTTACCCATCATGTGGGTGCTGGCAACGGAACCCAGGTCCTCTGCAAGAGCAGCCAATATTCTTTGCCATTGAGTCATCTCTCCAGCCCCATGGACTCAGAACTCTTGGTATTCCTGCCTCAGACCTCCTAGTGTTGGGCTTACAGGTCACCACATCTGGCTTCTCACTTTCTAAGTCTATAAAGGAGGGATACTGGTTGTCCTATGAAGGCCCTATGATTTTCTTATGCTTCAGGTGGTAAGCTGATGATTCACTTGTTATTGTTACCTATCAGACATTTGCAGGGTGACAATGAAATCTAAGATGTGCATCCTTCCTCCCCCCACATCCTGGGCTCCACCCAACGTGAAATAACGGTGGATTCCCTCACTCTCCTCCCGGCTTTCCCACTGCATCTCGAACTTCATCTGCCTTGATTATTTCCGCACCAAATAATGGCTCCCTCTTCTGCAGCTGGTCATTCCTTTGTGGCACTTAGGGCCAAGTCCTTTTCTTCCAGACCAGGCAACTCTAATTTACAAACTGCTGGAATCGAAGGCTTTGTCTGTTTCATTTCTTACCCAGAAGGGTACTTCCAATGCAAGGGAATACTCAGTAAATACTTGGTGAAAGCAATTCACTGTCCTTATTTCAGCGGGCTCATTTCCTCTATCAGAGCCTTGGCTATTCTCGACGCTATTTTGTTGGCTTCCAGAGAATACATTAACATTAGATGTGTTCTGTTCTCTCCTTTAATTGGAAAGAGCTCTTGGAACTGAGAATTGAGTTACTTCTCCAAGCTTCATTTTCTACGACTCCCCCATACTTAGAGGCTTTGCACAGGAATCTAAGTACTTGGCATTGCATAGAACACGACTTTCTCACGCCTCCAGGCCTCGGTTCCTATGTACCATTCCCTTCGCTTGCTTTGCGCTTAGTCTGGCTCTTCTGCTGTCGAACTCCTACTCATCCGGCGGTACTCAGCTCCCCATCACCTTATTTGTGAAGACTTCTATGCAGTGGGCAGAGGAATGGAGCCACCTTTCTTCCATCTTTTTGACTTCCTCAGCATTCCTCAAACGGTTATAACAATACAAAGATATTATTTTTCAACCCTGTGTGAATTAGTCTACGTGAATTGCTGGACAGCCAGACTCCCTGTTGGTCTATTGATCTTTATCCAGCACAGTGTTTACATATCTAGACATAAGGTTCAGTCAATGGGTGAAGCCACTAATCCACCTGACACCGCAGGTTGTAGGAAACAGATTCACAAACCATTCCAGACCTGGTCCATCCTTGGTCTCCTCCCCGTTCCCGCTCTGCCTGGGGCTGGTAGAAAGGGAAAGGAGCCTGATTAGAGGGTGGAAAGCGTTATTCCTTCAGGGCACAACCTGCCCTGGCACCCAGAGGGGTACAGAGGCCCGGGGGCGGGACCGGGCCCGAGCCACCTGCTGCCGGATGGCCTGCGCATGCGTGCGGGCCTCGCTCTACCTGCCGGGCCGGGCGGAGCCGGAGCGCCTGCGCTCTGGGCCTTTTCCGCCCCGGGAAGTCTCGCGGGGGCGGGGCGCGGCCGGTGGGGCGGAGCCGCGAGGGGCAGTTCTCGCGGGACCGGGTGGAAGAGCGGAAGCGAGCCTGCTCTGCTGCTTCGGCGAGCGGGCGGCAAGCACCGAGGCCGAGGCGCTGACGGCGGCCGGGGGCACAGCAGCGGGCTGGGCGGCCCCGGGCAGCGCGGCGGAGGGCGGGCCGGGCGCTGAGCGAGCAGCAGCGCCGTGGTGAGTGCAGACGGGCGGACGGACAGACAGACGGGGGGGGTGGCGGGGCGACTGCCTTGAGTCCCGGCGGCGGGAGCGCTCCGCGGGGCCGGCTTCCTCGGCGTTCCCCGAGGGCCCCGGAGCGGAGCCGCCGCTGCCGGACTCTGCGTTTCCCGCTTCGGGGAGCTTCCTTCTTGGGGACGGTCTTCCTCCCGCTCTGGGCCGAGCCCGGGGCTCCCCGGTGGGGTCTGAAGCGGCGGCCGTCGCGCTGGGTGCTGGGTGCTGAGTCTCCGGGGGAGGCAGGTCAGGAATCCGGTGCGGCTGCTGCGGTGCTGATGGATGCTCCTATGACCTGCACTGCACCCGCGTCACTGGCTCTGGTCGCCGCGGTTGGGGCCGGATTTTGTGCGGGAATCGACCCCGGAAGATAGAAGGCTTGCTGCCTGGGAGGTCTTTGTCAGTGCTGGAGAAACGCTGGTCGGGAAGTGAGCGGCCAGCCGGGCGAGGGTTTCGGTTGGATAGTTGCGCGGGGTCGGGCCCCACCGGCGCTCCAACCCGGGCAGGATGGTAAGCCGGAGTTAGGGCTTGTTTGGAAAGTGCTCGTAGGCTCGGAGTGCGTGAAAGCGCGGGTTGCTGAGGGCCCGGGGTGTGCAGACACCTCTCTCGCTGCAGTTGACACTCGGAAGAGTCGGGGAGGCTCGAGAAACTGGCTTTATTTAGACTTTCTAGCCCCTCTTTTTCCAGTTAGTTGCCTTCCTTTTGTCTCAGTCTCCTCCATTCCACCGGGGACACGGAATGTTTTGTCACGCGGGTCATTGGCCCCTTCCACCCCCGTTTTTTTCTAATCTACTTCCCCTTTCTTGCTGGCCCTCCTCTGGCACAATGTTCGAAGTTTCTGCCCTTTTTGGCGTTGTTAATCTTCTCCCTCCTTTCAAGATTCCCCTTTCTCTTTCGGGAAGATACTCTCTTCCCTGTATTTATTCAGACCAGGGAGTAGAGCTGCTAGCGAGTCTGGGGAGACTTGGTTTTCCCCCGCGAGGACCGGGGAGGCTTCAAAGGATTGAATTCATCTGTAAGTAATCGATAGTGCCCCCAGATCACAAGCGTTCCTTGCTTGTGTTATTTGTAGTTTAGTGTTTTTGTTTTTGTTTTTTTGCCACCAGATCATGCTTTTGTGCCTGGTAATTTTTTCCCGTTTCTCTTTGGTATTAGTAAGGAAGATTGGATCATTTGGGGGAGGGAGGCAGTCCAAAACCGTCTCTTTTTTGAGTTTTTAGTATAGGTGGTTACAATGAGAATCCACTATAGAGTTTATGAATTAAGATAGCCTGAAAGGTTTGGAAGGGCATGGAACTTTAGGTGAATTAAAGCCCATCCATCATAATTACTAATTTATTCCTTATCAGGCTTTTTATTTAAATTAGGGGTTTCTTTCTATATGTTCTAATCAAATTCTTTGATTTTCTTTTTCTTTCTTTTTTTTTTTCCTTCTGTGCTGGGGTGAAACCCAGGGTGTGGTACATGTTAAGTGTGAGCTCTACCACTGAGCTGCACCTCCAGGTGTTTGGAGGTTTTTGTTTTGTTTGTGTTGTTGAGATCCTGTGGTCTTGCTCAGTGGTTCATGCTGGCCTTGAATTGGTAATTGATGGTGATTCTTGTGCCTCAGTCTCTCAAGTACTGGAATTACAGGCATGCACTACTGTACCCATTCCATCAACAAATAGTTATTTGCTCCTTCCCATTTAAAAATTCAATTTTCATAATCCCAAGATTCTTTTTTAAAAAATTATTTTATTTGTATGAGTATATTGTTTGCATGTCTGTAAGTACACCACAAATCCCAAGGAGATCAGAAGAGGGCATCAGATCCATTGGAACTGGAGTTCGGACGGTTGTTAGCTGCCATGTGGGTGCTAGGAATCGAACCCAGGTCCTCTGCAAGAGCAACCAGTGCTCTTAATCAGTGAATCATCTCTCCAGCTCCCCAAGATTAATTCTTATAATCAGATTATTTTAAAAAAATATAAAACTTGAGCATGGCTTGTATAGGTCAGAGGACAGCTTGTGGGAGTGCTTCTCTCCAGGAAGGGTCCAGGGATCAAGCTCAGGTAGGCAAACTTGGCAAGCAAGTACCTTTACCCATTCAACCATCTCACTTCCCTTGAGGCACTTTGCTTCCTCTGCAAGTATCTCAGGTTTTCGAGAATTACTGGGTTTTTAAGTACTGCTTATTGGTGGTACTTAGAGGTTTTCCTCAGTGATTTCTGTCATGTGTGCAGCAGCATTTGTTAATGTAGAATAGTAATAGCTAGGAGATGTGCATCACAGAGTCACCATGCTCTCCTGAGATTAGCAGTTATCTGCTGAATTCAGAGGAACTCTATGCCTTTATTGAATGATTATTGAGATTTTTTTTAAGTTGGTTTTTCCCCAGTTGTGCCAAGTTGAATATGCTCTTTTTTCATTTATGTGACAACTGCATTCTTTGGAGCTCAAATTTTAAAATTTGCTTAAGGCTCCATTAATATTTTAGGAGTCATTCTTAAAATTTATATGTATAAAAATCATCTGGAGCTGGATGTGGTGGCACACACCTTTAATTCCAGTCCTCAGGAGTCAGAGGCTGGCAGGACTCTGTGAATTCCAGGCCAGCTGGGGCTACAAGGAGACCTAGACTCAAAAAAAAAAAAAAAAAATTTCACCTGGGGATTTTAAAATTACTGGTCTTGATACATAGTTCAGACTGGCCTCAAACCTTCAAATCCTCCTGTGTCAACTTTCCCCCAGTGCTAGGATTATGTAGGCTCAGGCAACCACACTTGATCTTCTTAAAATTAGGTTCTTGCAGAACTCCAGCAGGCATCCCATAGTAAATCAGTCTCTGAAAGGGTGGATTTTTAAAATACGTAAATTTTAAAATTTGTGTACAAATACTTGGGTTTAAAAAATTTTTTTTTAGTCTGGGTCTCACTGTGCTGCTCTGGCTAACCCAGCTGGCCTATTAACTTATAGCGATCTGCCTGCTTCTGACTCCCGAGTGCTGGTGTTAGCATTGAAGGTATGTGTCACCATACCTAGCTGGGGTGTTTGTTTGTTTGGGAGGTGGGTCCTCTGCTACCAGAGATGGAACCGAGGATATTATACATGCATGATGGTCAAACCTTCCACTGAACCGTATTCCCCCAGCAGTCAAATTCTTGCATCATTAGGTTTCTGCTTTGGTGCTGGGGTTGGAACCTGGGGCCTTGCACATGGTAGGCAAGCTCTCTACCACTGTGCTATATATATACTCCAGCCCATGATTTTTTTTTTTTTTTTTGACAGGTCTGTAGCCAAACTGGCTTCAAGCTCACTATGTAGCTGAAGATAGCCTTGAACACCCCCCCCCCCCAGCAGCATCTCACCATGTAGCAGGTAGACCAGCCTAGCCTGGAACTCAAAAAGATCTGCCGGCATGTGCCTGACTAAAACTTTTAGTATTGTTAGGACTGTGATGTGGGGTGACCTAACTTTAAAACATACATCTCCCTTTACATCTCCCTTGCTGCGCGTGGTGGCACACACCTTTTAGTCCCAGCACTTGGGAGGTAGAGGCAGGTGGATCTCTGAGTTCAAGGCCAGCCTGGCCTAAATAGTGAGTTCAGGTCAGCTGGGGCTACAGGGAGACCCTGTCTCAAAAAGAAAAACAACAAAAAAACCCACCATCCGTCTCCCCTAGTGCTGGAGATGGAACAAAGCCTAGTGCATGGAGCATGCTAAGGAATGCCTTACTACCAGTTATCCCATAGGCCCCTTTTTTTGTTTTGAAACAAGGTCTCCCATAGCTCATCTTGTCCCCAAACTTGCTGTATGGTTGAACCTACTCAGACTGACCTTGACTCTCAAATCCTGAGATTACAGACATGTGCCATCACTTATGGCTTATAAGTTTTTGTTGTGTTAACGTTTTGGTGGTGGTAGTGTTGGGGTTTGGACCCTAGGCCTGCTGCATACTAGACAAGTGCTCTGCCACTGCTACATCCCCAGTCCAGTTTGCAAATTAATAAGGCTGTTAATTTGCCCATCATAGAGTTGTTCTGAGTTCATATATGTGGATACCAGTTCTAGATTTCCTGTCACATGTAGACTTACAGTTGAAAGGGAATGATGATGTTAGTTAACATCTTTATCATCGGAGTAGTTTTATTAGATAGATACTGCCTATCTTTCAATTGAGTGGTACTAGGGTTTAGAGAATGTAAGGTGTTTGTCCAGTATCTCCTAGTTTGTAAATTATAATTGATGGTTGAATCCAGGCCTTTTGGTTTGTGTTGTAATTACAAAGTAATACATGCTTAATGTAAGAATAATGAAAATCAGTTGAGGTGTATTGCCCAGAAAGTATTAGTATTCTCTCTTACTAGTAGAGATAGCATTGTTAGCCTGAACATTTTAAAGCATATATTGATGTATTATTTTGTTTTACACAATTTGGATGAAATACAGGGGCAGGAAGAGTGTGAGTTTTGGGACATGGTCTCTGTAGCTCTGACTGGACTGATACTATGTAGCCCAAGTTGGCCAACTTTTAGCAATCTTCCTACCTCAGTCTCCTGAGTGCTGGGATTACAGTGTGTACCTCCATACTTCTCTATTTTTTGCAGCTTCTAAAGACTTAGAAATATGTCTAGCTCTTGTAGAGCACCCAGGTTCAATTCCTAGCACTTGTATGGTGACTAACAACTGTCTGTAACTTCAGTTCCAGGAGATCTTATACCCTCTTCTGACCCCTGCAGGCATTGTATGACACAGGTACACTTATGCAGATTCAGGCAATACACTCATACACAAAAAATAATAAATAAAAATTTAAAATTCTAAAAGATTGAGCTTAAGTCCCAGCTAGAGTCTTGATGATGAACATAAATAGAATAGTCTGTTTACCCAAACATATTGCAGAGATTGGCGATACATATTTAAAAATGTATAAATATATACTTTTTTTTTTTTTTTTTTTTTTTTTTTTTTTTTGTCTTTTTGAG